AGCAATGTCAGCATCCACAATATAACGCTGTGTGCCCACGGATAATGGTGAGCACTTATTTTTTTATCTATGATATGCATGGGCTTCGGGCCGAGGAGGAAGAGGAGAAGGAGGTTGGGGAGAGAAAGGATTGGTGGCGGCGGGGGGACGACACACGTGGCACTAAGACGAGACTTCCAGTTTGGCTGATTCTCTGTGATGCTGTTAAACTTCTCAGCTAAAACACAAATTGTTACAAAGACCAGGAGGACGAAATTACAGGATACTGTAACTGTACTCCATGAAGAGAGCTTTTTGTGTTTTAGAGACTTTTTTTAAAGGTTGGCTGATAAAATAAAAAGGGAGATCAATCATAAAGATTGCTGGGTAAAGTGTTTCTCTTAATATTGCTATGGCACAGACATAACTTCCTCAGACTCTGTAATAAACTTCATTGGGACTTTTACAGTGTTTGGATTGGTTCAGTGTGCCTTTAATTTGATAGTATACTCTACTGTGCAAAGGTCTTGAGCCACCCCACATTTCTTTATATTCTGAATTTTTTAAGGTGGTCTTGAGCAATAGCTCTTCAGACTTATTGAAGGTCTTCCAAAGTGTTTCTTCAGACACTGGCTGGTTTTTCACTAATTTTCAGTCCATTCCTTGTACCTGACCATTTTTCAGAAAATTTTCTTGTTGTTTGTTAAGTCACTTAACTCTGACCTGCGAATCATTCAAGCATAAAAAAAGCACCTAACTCAATGGATGAACCAGTGTTGTGTGACATAACAGACAACTTAAAAACTGACTATAATTGTACCTTTAGGGACTTTATTAGTATCAGCTGGTCACAACCTATTCCCATTTCTTTAGGTGAGTCAATAAAAAATGCCAAAGATAACACAGTTTGACAGACATAAAATTGTATTTTTGCACCAACAAGGCGATTCCCAAAGAGCTATTTGCCAATATGTTGGCATATTGCTCCATCAACGCTTGGAACATAAATAACAGCTTCACTACTTGACCAATTTGGCCTTCTTCAGAGTCATCAAGGCCATAGGCCAATACATGTTGATCAATGAATAAATCTGTGCTTTAACCTCTTTAGCAGTGTTAATTTCTTAGACCAACAACTTCCATCATAGTTTTTGTCAGAAATCTTTTTTTTCTGATAAAAAAAAAAAAGACAACAGGGACAAAAACTATGATATAATGGACTGGCACGTTTGATAACGAATGAAAACAAGGTGAAAATGTTCTAGAGAAACGAGATCCAATCAGAATGAAGTACATTGTGTAGAAAGGCGGGACAAATGTGGAAGTGATCCAATCAGAAGTAAACAGTGCAACAATTTACTCAGACATGCACATTTTATCCTGGAGGGGAATGTCCCATGCTCCCGTTTCTCATGAAAACACCCCACATGTTATACGAACACATTTCACCTTTGATGTCAGACAAAGTTAGACCCTTTGTAGTCCATGTGGAGCAACTCACGCTTGTAAAAACACTACAAACGCACATAATATTTTAGTCACCTGAATCAACTTTACATTTTTTTGGAGTAATCCTATCATATGTAGGCAATTAAAACTAAATGAATCGAGATGCATAAACTATATTTAAACCGTTTGTTCTTTGACATTCACCTCTGAAGTCAAAACCTTCATTTTGTTCTCACAATGTATAAAGAAATGGGAGTGGCTCAAGACTTTTGCCCAATGCTTTAATTCAGTCTTTTATAACCTATTTGAGGTGTGTGTGACCTGCACTTTATTGATAGACTACGTGGTTTAATCAGAATTGTAGCAAGTCAGCCTCACGTGGCCTTCTTGTTTTGAAAATGTGTCTTAATTGTAATATTTAATCTTCTGTATTGAAACCACGGGCTCTGTAGCTTATTTCTACTGTTCAGCAGGGGGTAAATACACTACTGTTAACAGTCTTCTTCTCCTCTCGTACTCAGTAAAAACTTTCCTAATGAGTTTGTGGTCTCAGTCACTTGTTTCAAGCCTTATTAAATACAGCATGGTGTTTGTTTTATATAACACGAACACACTGAGAGAAATCAGTCAATCAGTCTCAGTCAGATCTACTCCTCACTTGTGACGCTCAGAATGAAAAACCGGAGACGACGACAGCCATCGCTACTGGGTGACATCGCCATGGCTACATCAATCTTACAGGCACAAAACCTCTGTGGCTGGTTCACATCTGGTTTTCAGTGACAGTGCTGTCCCACGTCCTCACTTCAGTAAATAATACATTCTTCAGCAACAACACCCTGCCCTACAGCCAGAATGCTTCTATAATAAATGCCGTCAAACTTCAATATCTTTATTAATTTTTAGGTGATTCACACTTATCTAAACTTTTTGCACAGATGTTAAATGTTTAAAAGAAATTAATACCTCAGGAACCTCACTAGAACAATTAAAACTACAGACTGGCTAAGTCTGCAGTTGTAATTGTCGCAGCACATCAAAATCCATGTGCAGGAGCACATTATATCTCCAAAATATAATCAAAATATAATAAAATATAATATAATCAAAATATAAAATATAAATATAAATATAGTCAGCAGTTCAACGTCTGATGAACTGCCGACCAATTTGCATGGTCAACAGTTTACACATGCTGTGTTTGAAGTGTGCTTAATTTAATTTAATTTAATTTTAATGGGGAAGAAAATATACAGATTTCATAAGTTTTTTGTTTTGTTTTGTTTTTTAGAAACAAACTGCATCAAAGAGTTTTAAACATGACATTTAGAAGATCAGAAGATGGTACACTGTGGTGATAAAGGGACAGACATGGCATTAAACAGGTAAGCTGTGGTGTTTAAATGATGCTCAGCTGGTATTAAGAAGATATCCCCCACTTCATTACACCAACACCAGGCAGGATGGATCCATGCTTTCGTGTTATTTACACCAAATTTTGACCCTGCCATTTGATTGTTGCACCAGAACTTGAGACTCCTCAGACCAGGCAATGTTTTACCAATCTTCTGTTGTCTGATTTTGCTTAGCCTGTGTGAACTATAGCCTCAGTTTCCTGCCCTTAACTGACAGGAGTGACCCCTGGGTGTGGTCTTGCTCTATTGCTGCCTGCCTTCAAGGTTTGATGTGCTTTCAGAGAGAAGCTCTTCTGCATACCTTGGTTTTATTGGGTGGTTCTTTGGGTTACAGTTGCCTTCCTATCAGCTCAATGGAGACTGACCATTCTCCTCTGATGTTTGACATCAACGAGGGATTTTCTCTCTGAGAACGGCCGCTCACTGGAGATTTTCTCTTTTTTAGACCATTTTCTGTAAACCCTAGAGATGGTTGTGTGGGAAAATCCCAGCAGATCAGCAGTTTCTGAAATACTCAGACCGACAACCATAAATTGTCTTTCTTCTTCATTCTGATGCTCAGTTTGAACTTCAGCGAGTCATCTTGACCATGTCTGCATGCCTAAATGTGTCAAGTCTCTGCCATGTGAGTTTAACAGTTAAACAGTATAGTTTGTGTGTGATGGCAGACTGACGTCATTATTATAATGGAAATTCACCATGAATATAACATTTTTCACACAGAACAGTAAAATAAAAATAACAAATAATACGCAAGGACATTTACGTACAGAATTTAACCTAAAACTGCTGCAATGAACAAAGCGCCAGCAAATTTAAACTCTACACCGTACGCGGTGATTTAAAAACAAACAACAACAACTTAACAGTCTTAGCCCTTTGTCAGTTTTCGTCTGCCTCTTTGATAAACCCAAGGAACCGCATGAAGAATGCATAAAAACAACAGGATTTATCTTGTAAATATTTTACACCTCAGTCAGCCATGAAGAGATTCCCTAAACAGGGACGAGCACACTTCGACTGTTTTCCAGAAAGCACATGGCAACTGTAGCTGTCTCTGTCATGTGTTTTCCTCCTGCTATATGTTTTTATTAAACTCATGAAATTCTGACTGGGCTACAAGATGATTGTGGGTGGTGGTGGTGGTGGTGGGGGGCTCACAGATAAAGAAAGGTGAAGATTTGAAAAGAAAGCAGGAAGACAAATAGAAAGGCAGGGCAAAGAAAGATGGAGTGAGTTGTGTCAAATGGATAAATGTCAGCAGGAACTTCATCATCTGTCTCCCTCCCGAAGATGCCATGTGTAAATTGCGGAGCCGGGGCCCTCAGCTAGCCTTCCCCTAGCGCTGTAATAAGATTAGAGACAGCAGCAGTCTCTGCCTCTCTCCTTGTGTGTGCGAGGGACTATTGAGCCCGTGTGGAAGTGTACAATTTCGATGGCTTACACGGGGCGCCGGCGAATAAGCGGGATTACTCACACCACCAAACAAGACTCATGGTGGAAGATTTGGATACTTATTTATCACTCCACACACACACACACTCGCAGACACACTGTGAACTTTTCTTTTTCCCACCACGTTTTGCTGTGTGGGTCACTTTAATGAGATTCCTGCCTGTACAGTAATAGCACAGTCTCTGCAGAAGCCCTGAAACAACATTACAGGAGATTAAAACACCATTAAGTGCGATACGTTGACTCTAAACTCATTAAAAGCATAATCCCTGCAGGAATATGCTTTCCTATATTCCTGCAGCTCTTTTTTATAATTAAACATTTGCACTGTGGGGAACAATATAGGAGGCTATCAGCACCGCTCCTCGCTCCCGTTTGTTAGCACATGATGTTTACACCACAGCTTCGCCTCTCAGACTAGTCTTTCAGACCTTCATCCAAATCTAATATACCCATCCATAAATAGCTCACCTATCGAGCCCATATTTGGCGTGAGTGACTGGACACGGGAGCCAATCCTGCCCGGCGAAACCCCCCCTCCAACCCCGCCTCTGCACGCTCTCCCAGCCGCTCTAACGCCTCCCGAACCGCCCATTCGCCTTAAAAGGGGCTTGACTGACAACCCGAACCACGCCCCTTCGTTTACCAAGCCCCACCCCCTCCTTCGGTTCCCCTATCGCGTGTCTATTTTGGCAACACGGATACGCATGGAGCCTCCATCACCTCCAGCCTCCTCTTTACGCACCGACTCCCGAGAATGCGCGCAGGTACGGGGAAGCCAGCCGCCTCGCTCAGCCGTTAACGTCCCTGTTTAAGGACTAATATGAAAGAAGTGGATTTAGAGGTCTGACAGAGCCCAGAGAGGAGGCACATACACACATATATAGATTTTTCCTCTTCTTCTCCTTCTTCTTCTGCTTCCCACCCCCTTCCCTGTGGATCATTCTTGTTTTCCCATCACCAGAGCGTAAAGCATGGATGTCTTGGCGAACCACAGTATCTTTCAGGAACTTCAGCTCGTGCACGACACCGGCTACTTCTCGGCCATGCCTTCGCTGGAGGAGAACTGGCAGCAGGTACGTGTCAACTTTCAGCTTTCAGCATCGGCTGTGCCAGCTTCAGCCGCGAGCTCGCAAATTTGCGCTCGGGATGCACAACTTTCGAAGAAAAAGAAGAAACACGCACTCGTGTATCTGGCAGGTTTTTCCCGATAAATGAGCAAAGTGCATAAAATGCGGACGCAAAGCAGCGCGTAATAAAGCTGTCAAATATGATGTAAGGGGAGGTGAAGATGAGCACTCGAACAGGGAGTGAATTAGACGTAAATAATAGATTTGCAACCTTCAGATTACTCAGGTTTGAACCCTCGTGCACGAAAAGAATTCCCCTCTCCTATCCATAATAGATCCCCCAACGCGTCTGGCTCTGTAGCAGCATTAACGGGAAGAAGGAGGTGAGGGAAGAAGCTGTCACCAGTAATGTCCACATTTTTTTTATTTGTTCATCTTTTTTAAATCCCCCTTTTGCTTCATCAAATTCAGCGGGTGTCTACGGAGAGATGCTGTGTAAAGCTCTGGGTTTCACGCGGCCACATGGCGCCGGGGTGCGCGGAGAGACTTCACGCCATCTGCGCTTACGCGTCTCTTCTTCTTCTTCTTCTTCTTCTTCTTCTTCTTCTTCTTCTTCTTCTTCTTTCTTTAGTTTGTAAAACTGTTTTAAAAAATGGCACCAGAGCTGGGTTTATTTATTCATTGCGTGGTGGTGATGATGGTGTGGGTGTGTGTGTTAGAAAAAAAAAATCTTCAAATCGGAGTTTTTTTTAACGAACAAATGATTCATTTTTACATTTTGCCCCTTCACTGCTTCGGTTTGGTGTCCCACTGTCACTCAGAGGAGGGACATCTTCCCCCAAACATGCCTCCTACTTTCCTCTTTTCCATTTGTGTGTCCAAATAAGAGCCCACCTGCATTGCTGCTGCTGCTGCTGATGCTGGAGAGGATGCTTTCCATGCTGCACTTGAATTACCGGACAAGGAGGGGGAGAAAAAAAAATCACAGCACAGAAATCTGATGCCGGTATTGTTCATGAAATATGAGCTTGAGTTTTTCCCCACTTCTATGCTCCACGAGTAAAGGGAGGGAGGGGATGGAGAGAGAAAGAGGGAGAAACCGGTGCGTGACTGGTTGTGGCCAAGCAGCCTAATTGGCATCCTACTGTTAGCCACCGACGCATCTTTTCATAACAAGTCTCCAACTCCCTGCCTATCCTCCTGTCAGGGGATTTTTTTCTTAAATTGCATGTGGGGGCCATCATATGGAATGAATCTCTCTCTCTCTCTCGCTCTCTCTCTCGCTCTCTCTTGCTTCTCACCCACAGCCTGCATTTTAAAATCAATACCTAATGCAAATGGAAGAGAGAAGACAGCTGGATATGTGGGCAAAGCTCTTCTCTGTGAGGGTGGGAAATGTCAGCTTTCTTTTATTGGAATCGCTGTTTATGGGCTCTGTTTGGTCTTTGACTGTTTTAGATTTAGATCGGCTCGTTTTTTGCCAGGATGTCTGGCATCATTTTGTGTGATTAGCTGTAGTTTTGGGATTTTTAAAAAAAATGGTAAACGTAATGTCATAGATGAATTCTGTGATTGAATCTGCCCTCAGCCTGGGCTAAATGGAAAGATCAAACTGACCGTGACCTGCCTTTCTTCTGGCTAATACAACTCTGGGACCTTGGTGATGTTGCCTTGCCTGCAAATTGCCCACATGCAGTGTAGTTAAGTTAAAGTTAGCTGGCTAACTTCAAACCAGAGGCATTAAACAGAGAGACAAAAAAAAAGACAAATACTAAATAATGCCTTGAGGCGACTGTTGTTGTGATTTGGCGTAATATAAGTTAAACTAAATGGAATTGAATGAAACTACTACAAGATAGTGCTAAATACTTAAAACTTTTTAAACTTTTTAAACTGAACCCAGAGCAGTCTCTGGGGGTTGCTTAGGAACCCCCACACCCCCACAAAGCTAACTGTTGCACACTCACAATAAACAGCTAGTACGACTCACCTCCTCTTAAATTGATGTTACTTGTTTTGTAAAAGATTTGCATATTTTACTTTCTCATAAGTAAGGTTAACTTAATGTAGAAATGTAACTGAGAGAGGTTCTACTTTTTAAATGTTCTTTTGTTTAGTGTTGTTGACTGGAAGTGGCTCCATTGTGTCTGGTCTAACAAGTGAAAGATCCTCGCTTTGGTTTTGGGAGGCAACACAAATCCAGAGATGGCTGCTGACTTTTAAGACTTTGCTTCTAGAAGAATTGTAGCAAAATGGAAATGCTTGTTGGCCTACTAAGGTGTAAGGCAGGTGGTGTTAAACATAAGGCCCGGCGGCCAAAATTCACCTGGCAGAGACTCCAAACCAGCCCAGTGGATGGCTTTGGAATATGTGAGGGAGGACATAACTTTTGGAGTTTTAACTGTATTTTCACAAGTTTTACAGCTTTATGTACCGATAAAGACCGCCAAAAAGTCCAATTTAAAAAAATTACCTCTTCCAATTTAAGTCCAAAGAGTCCTGCACTTTTTTCTTATATTAAGATGTCTCACTGATTAAATGTGTACCTCAGTTTCTGAAACTGGAGTTTCACCAGTCCGGCCCACATAGGATCAAAGTGGTCTGTATGTTGCCAGGAATGTAAAATAAGTTGGATATCTGTAAATCATGTAATGATGTGCACAAATGAAGCTAACTGTTACGTTTCATTTCTGTTGTAACAGTTAAGAGTTGGGTGTAGTCTCAGAATGAAAATTACTGAAATCTATAATTTAATTACTTTGGTTATTGTGAATGGCCATTTTAGAGCTCTTTATGAGTAGGAAAAGCTTTAAATTCTATTGAAATATAGTTGAAAGTCCAAAATAAATGCCTTCCTTCACATTTTCCCAAACCATCCAGTGCCTTCAGATTCTGGCCTCCAGGCCTTATGTTTGGTGTATAAGCTGTAAATCATGTAAAGATGGGCGCAAAACAAAAGAACATTTCCCTTCTATAGTAACAGTTTAGAGTTGGGGGCAGTAACATTGTCAAGTCCAACTCAAGTGTGTTGTCATTATCCCGACTGTCAGGCATGCAGTTTTTACAGTCGCCTCTCAGTTGCTTGACAAGATGCATGCTTTCCTCAAAGCATTCAAAGCCTCCAGCCCCATTACAAATCACCAGAGGAGAAGGTTTCTTCTTCTTTCGGAAAAACTATCTATAGTTTAGATAAGAAGATCCCTGCAGCCTTGAGAGCAAAAGGATTTGAGCTTTGCAAATCGATCATTGTGCTCATCGTAGCAGCATGAAGATGCCACTGAGCTCCCCTGAATACAGGAATTATGAGCTGTGGCTTGCCTTAAAAGCTCCGTCTCCAGCCGAGGCCCTGCAGTTTGAGCGGTCCCCTCTGTATTCCGGGCACAATTTAGAATTCGATGCTTTTACGGCGGCCTGATGGCGAGATAGGAGGCCGTTGTTGTCGGCCCCTAAATGGGTCCCTGAGACGCGATGGCAAGAGTGATGACTGTGTCCCCTGTTGGTGTCTGCGAGGCATGATTCAGCTGGTTATAGGGGGATGGGGAGAAGAAAAGCAGTAAAGTGTTTTTGGAGGTCTGCAGATGGTACATTTGAGGCTACTATTTGTTCCATTATTGAACCTAATAGTGCCAAGCTGAACTGCGTGCTGTCTCGCTTCCAAATCCCCGTACAGTTGGCTGTTCAGAGTTGGAACAAAGTGCGGGGCTGAGCTGGATTTGGAACAAGCAGAGCCGGTCAGAGCGCACTTATTATTTGTGGGACCCAGTTTCTCTCAAAGCAAAGAGCGCACGTGTTATTCTGCTGTCTCGCTGTCTTGGCTTCTCTTTCCCGTGCTTGTTTAGGCTCCTTTGTAAACTGGCATTTTGGTCAGAGAAAGCCTTGGTTGGCTTTTGCTGTCGGTTTGCCAGCATCTGTAAAAAAAAGAAGAAGAAGAAGAAAAAAACATCTGGATCAGATTTCAGGCCGACATGATGGATTTTTCAGTCTCCGCTGATGACGTGTCCCAGTCCACCGCACCTGACCCTGATGGGCAGGATTGTAACAGGACACCACTGATGGCTCTCGGTCATTGACCTCGGGACACACTTTATACCCTCCAACACATATATTATCCCTCAGAGGTTCAGCACACGCACACACAGAGTACACACATGTAGTGCGACTGCCTGCACAAGCAAAATGTCTGCACGTTGCTTGACGGTGCATTATGGAGCTCCTATATGAGGACAGGCTGTTCATGGCAGGCGCAACCTCCATAAGCGAGCCCGCCTGCTCAGATGCATCCACTTACATCCAACTGGCAGCGAAGGCGACTCCGTCTGGGACTGAGTGTGGGGTGGGCGGAGGATAGAGGTGGAGGAAGTTGCAGAGCATGCACATTCTCTCCACTGCAAGATTTTGCATTTCACAG